TCATGTCCATCCACGCATGGGAGTGTCCACGTACATGCACACCCGCACACACCTGCATCCCACATGCGCACATGCACAGGCATCCATGTGCAATGATGCACATGTCTTCTCGGGAAAGTGTGTTACAGCATCCTGATCTGTGTCCCCACTCTTCTGTGTGCTGTGCTGAGTGCATCACCTAAAGCAAGGACGCTCACACCAATTCCATACTATCCTCTGACACACGGGCCTTACTTACATGTCGTCTGCTGTCCCAATCGCGTCCTGCACAAAGCTGGCTGGTGGGTTGGTCCCTGGAACCATTATGGCCTGCGCGTTGCACTGCTGGGCGTGGCAGCTCGGCCTCCTTACTCCGGAATATCCCCGACTGCCTTGTCTGTCCCAGCGTAGACAGACACTCTGGAGACGCCAGCCTGCTGTCTGGTGAGATGCCCACAGGCTTCCTTGTCCAGTGCTTCCTCACATTTGGACTCAGGCTTTTGTGAGCACCCCAGACAGATGCCCACATGTCCTTCACCCAGGGGAGCTTGTCCCTGGACAGTAGGTGCTGGGAAGGTGGCTTCTTGGGTCCATGACATGGAGGCTTGAGGACATTTGCCAGAGCTGGGCTGGTAATCAGGCAGGGCATGGGGGCACCTGCCAAGGCTGGCCACTCTCTCTCAGACCCACACATCTTGGACAGTCTCTGGTCCCCAAAGGAGGAGCAGGAAAGAGGCGCCCAGGGCACCTGAAGAGCAGTCTCGCGGGACAGTGCTGTTCAGGGAGCATCCCAGCCACAGGCGCTGGCAGCCCGGGGAATGGGTCTGGGTCTCAGCACAGGGTGATGGCTGAGCTCACAACAGAAGAGAGCCCAGCAGACTGAACCCAGTCTCGGAAGCTCATCGCCAGGGCACGAGTCCTGAGACGGGCTGACCTCCTTATGCGCAGAGCCAGTTTGCTCTGTCACACGTGGGTGTTTGTTGCTTTTTAAAAAATGAAAATAAAAGACCGCATTATTTAGGAATGCAGACCAGCTGGGCCAACAAGACAGAACAAATCCTGGCTGAGGCAGGGCGGGAAGCAGGGCACATCTGCCCCAGAGGGAGGCAGAACCTTCTGGAAGAAGAGACGGGTCCTGGGTCCATGCGAAACTCCACGAGGAGGGGATGGCTGGCCCCTCAGCCCCATGGTGCTGGAGCGGGGAGCAGTCCTGAGGGCCGCTTCTGGGGACAAGTGAGGACGGTGCCCCTGCACCCTGGACCAAGACAGGCTCGTGAGAGACCAGAGCCAGCACACTCGCCAGAGGGAGCTCAGAGGGCTTGGCAGTGCTTAGGTGTGGATGGGTGGGGCTCACTCAGAGGGAGAGCCGTGCAGATGGAGGTGTGTGCTCACCTTCCAGGTACAAAGTCCTAATGCCCCTCCCACGGCACGTGCTGTGCAGCTGTGAAGGGCCAGGGATGACCATCAAGCCTGGCCTGGCATGACTTCCCACATTGGGCCTAAGCCTCCCAGGCATCTGGGAATCCACAGAAAACTGTCTGCATGGGAGTGAGTGGAAGTGTGCAGGAGCAGACAACACACATGTCTGTGCACACACAAGCACATCACACGTGTGTACACACGTGCATGCATGTCCGTATTGCTGAACACATGTATGCAGATAAATGCACGTGTGCACACAGACACAAACATGTCCACACACAGATGCACACACACACATACATGTGGAGAGTCCTGGGGGTGGATTAATGTGTGGTGGTGTCAGCGAGCTGGGGCCATGAGCTGCATGTGTCACGGACAGAGGAGAAGAGGCATTTCAAGCAGGGCAGGAGGTCCTGTGTAAGGGGAAGTGAAGGCAGAGAAAGGTACTTTGCTGGGAGTCAGCAGCCTCCACTAGACACGGCGGGTGTTTGATTTGTTTGTCCCAAGAATGTTCTCAGAAGCCCATGAAAGCGGCGGCCACCCTGTGACTCACAGTGCTGTTTACCTGTCTCCGCTCAGGCCCAGAACTCTCCTCTAAAATGTAAAGCACCCTCGCCGTTCGAGAACATCCCAGAGCCTCAGGCAGATGCGCTGTGTGCTCCTCCAGCTGCATGTGACGTCACCAGCCCGCGCTGCAGGCATGTGATGCTCTGAGGTGGCGGTGGCCCCTGAGGTGGGCAGGAAGGGTGTGGTCTGTAGCATTAGGGCGAGGGATGCCCTGCTGGGTCCCAGGGTTGCTCAGGCCGTCAGGCTGCTGTGTGACCTGCCCCTCACCCAGGCAGCAACTGCTCTCTGCAGCCACAGCTTCTCTGTCCCTGGCTCTGGCTCTGCCTGGGAACAGTGAGTTGAGCAAGTGCCCCAGGGAGTAACTGAGTGCCCAGGGCTACTGGACTGACAAGGGGCAGCTCCCAGTGCAGAATGGGGCTCTGCCACAAACCAGCCCAGAGTTCCCTCCCCCATCCAGGCAAGAACGGGGAGGGCCTTTGGAATTTTGGTCCTGAGATTATTCAGAAACACTTTCAGCATAAAATCACATTAGTGGCAGTGAATTTTCAAGGCATTTCTTTTTTTTTTTTTAAATCCTCACCTGAGGACATTTTTCCATTTTTTGTTCAGCTAGAGTGGGAGGGAGAGAGAGGAAGAGAGAGAGAGAAAGAAACATCGACGTGAAAGGGACACATCGAGTGGCTGCCACCCGCACAACCCAACCAGGGCCGGGGACAAACTGCAACCGAGGTACGTGCCCTTAGCGGGAACCGAACCCGGGTCTCTCTGGACTGCAGGCAGACGCTCTAACCACTGAGAAAAACTGGCCAGGGCTTCTCTGGGCATTACTAAGAATTCTGAGCTAGTGGGGATTAGTGTTGATGTTTGCATATGGGATGTCCCCATCTTTCGAGAGGGGACATGGTGTTCAGCTTGTCTTAAAACATGAGTACTGACTTCAAACAGCCGCCGCACCCTGCCTTTTGGATGGCACACAATCGATCAAATCCTCCGTGCTGTGAGCCGGGCACAGCTGGGGGTGCGACTTCAGGGCCTTTTCAACAGAGCTGCCCTCGCTGCTGAACAGAGCCCTGGGGAGGGTGGGACCCCTCAGCACAGCCTGGAGAAGATGGGGTGATGGGACGATTCGGGTAGATGGGATGGGCAGCTGGTGTGCTGAGCACACGCAGGATCTGGTGTGGCAAGTGGCGGGTAGAAGTGTGAGCACGTGAGCAGGTGAGCGTGCGTGTGCAATCCCATTCTGGCTCTCCGCTTCTGGGCTTTATAGTCTGGAGCCAGGCCTCTGGTCTCCATGCCTCACTTTCTTCATTCATAGGCCAGCCAATGAGCACACGCTCACAGAATGAAGGCGGGGCACTTGGCACCATGCCTGGTGGGCTGTGGCATTTCTGCATTTCTCCTGTTTGGAGGTGCTGGATGGCACAGAGCTTGGAGTGGTTTCTGTTTCACCAGGGGTCCTTGTGTTGATGAGTAGCCCATCCCCCACCTGCACTCCTGCGTCGGCTGCTTAGGGCTGAGGACCCCCACTCTGGCTGCACAGCACAGAGGGTGGGTGCTGGGTAGTGGGGTCCACCCAGTTGCAGAGGGAGGGTGACAGCCGTAACCAAAGTCAGACACCAGCACACATAGTAAGAAGCGGCCCCAGAGTAGACATTGGCAGGATTTATGGCCACATGGCAGCATCCTTTTAGCGTCCTGGACAAAGGAAGCCCTATCTGAGGTTTTATAAAGGGAAGGAGTTGGGACATAGCGGGAAGCATCCTGCCACAGGCCTCCGGAGCAGTGGCAGTGCCCGGATCCTGTCCCTTCCTGAGGCAGGACCATGCTCCATGCCGGGCTGGCACCTGGGCTGTGGGCAGGGCTCCCTCGCCAGCCTGATCTCATGGCCTTGGGGTGACCTGGCAGTCCCCGCTCCACCCACAGAGACTGAGATCTGGGGGGTGGAGGTGGCAGGAGAGGACTTCCGTCTGTGGAACCTGCAGTCACTGGCAGCATCAGTCTCAGTTCGATCTGTCGTCTCCCTTTTCTTTGGTGTCTGTTGATACCCAACTTCTGTGTCTGTCCCTTTCAAGCAGGTCTCAAAGATTAACTTAGAAACCCCTGCAGGACTCTGAGAAGTGCTGATGAAAGTGATATGAGCAGGGTGAGCCCCGAGAGAGCCTTTCTAACCAATGGAGAAAGGGGTCGGGGGTGTTACAAACGCCATGGGTCACCAGGGCTGGGGCCCAGAGCGGGACTCTGGTGAGACGGGGTGCGGCAGGCCAGCAGCTGCGGAGTGGAGTGGGCAGGCTGAGGAGCAGCATCTCTAACTAGGTGGGAGCCCAGCCCCTCACGGCTCCTCCTCAGATGCTAAATATCTCAGAAACAACAGTTCCCACAGAAGAACTGGTCTTGCATCAAGTTTCAGTGTAACGCCGGTGGTAGCCGCAGGCCAGCCTTCCTGGGCTGTGCCTTCTGTTGCAGCGGCTCTGAGCACAGGGGGTGGTATTCAAGAGGGCTGGGGCTGCTGCCTCCGTGTCCAGTGGTTCCCAGCCCTGTCCAGAGCCGGCTCCCCATGGGGGCTGTGCCAGGCAACTTCTTGGAGCTGGGCTCTGTGGACGGTGCCCAGGCTACAGGGCCAAAAAGAGGGTCCTTCCGGAAGCTGCCCTGGGGATCAGGGTGCTGGCTGGAGCCCCATTCTAACCCACGCCAGCACAGGGATCGGTGGCACTCTGGCGAGGAGCCAGCGAGGCCTCCCCTCTTCCAGCTCACAGCTCAGGGAGCTGGGAATTCCAAGGAATGTCCCCTTGGCCTCTTGAAGTCTGCTGGCTGCTTTAAGGAGGTGTGAGAAATTCTCAAGGGTGCCTGTCACCTTGATTTAGAGGTCTCTGTCTTTTTTTTTTCTTCCTTGAGAGTGAAAAGGTAGAAGAAAGCTGACTGGAAGCATGAATGGGGTTGCTGGGGCAGGCCCAGGGAGGGCGGGAGCTGGGCTGGCCCCACCTCCCCGAGGGCAGACTTCTGCCCACCCTCCCTCCGTGGTGCACACAGCCCTGATGGCTCCCTACCCCAGCGGCCTCGGCCTGCCGCTGCTGCTGCTCGCCTGCTGCCTCGCTGCCACCCGGGCTGATCTGCTGGACTGGCTGTGGCTGTCCGCTGGTACGGAGAGGCCCACAGCCTCACAGGCCCCTGTGCCCCCAGGCAGCCCACCTGTGCAGCCTGCAAAGGATATCACCACGCAGGTAGCCCCTCAGGATGGCCCCACCGAGCAGGGGCCAGCCCCTGACAGCTCTGAGCTGCCCCTGGAGAGGCTGGAGACTGGCCAGGGCAAGGCCTCCACTGCCCCTCCTGCCTCCACCACCCCATCTGCCTCCACCGCCCCATCTGTCTCCACCGCTCCATCTGCCTCCACCGCTCCTCCTGCCTCCACCGCCCCTCCTGCCTCCACCACCCCATCTGCCTCCACCGCCCCATCTGCCTCCACCGCCCCATCTGCCACCACCGCTCCTCCTGCCTCCACCGCTCCTCCTGCCTCCAACGCGAGCCTGGACAAGGAGGAGAATATTGCTGGCGTCGGAGCCATGATTCTGAATGTGGCTATGGGAATCCGGAACTTCATCCAGCTGTGGGATAATGCTACCAGGATGGAGATGCCAGCACCTGTGACCCCCACAGGTCCCCTCACCCTCCCTGGGCCCTCCAGCGCCCCCCAGGAGAACGGAACACCTCTCTGGCAGACCAGTCGGGCCTTGAGCTCTCCAGACACCAAGAGGACTGAGGTCGGCAGCCTGCCAGTGCCCACCCAGCCATCACCCTCCCCGGACAGCCCCCGAGCCCTGCTCAGGGAGCCCTCGGTGACACCGAAGTTCCCAGGTAGAGCTCTCTCCTCCATACCAGGCGGGGCCCTTCCCCGGGGAAGCCAGCAGTCCCCAGGTTGGCCCCCGAATTTGGATGGCATAGGACCCTTGCCCGTGGCAGCCCGTCCAGGCCAGCAGCACGAACATCCCGACATCCTCAAGCACAGGCCGCTTCTGCTTCCTCTGGTGACGGGTTCCCTGGGTGCGGACACTGCCCCGTCGGCTCTCTCCTCTGACCCCCCTGCCCATCTGTCTCAAATCTTACTCTCGGCTTTAACTGGGGACAGTGGTGCTTGGGTTCCTCACAAGGCTAATTCTGTGGGGCCTGGTCTTGCTAATAACTTTGCACTACTCAGATCCCACTGGCTGACCCCTGCAGGGCAGCCTGTCCGCCATGCCACCGGCCGGTGCCTGCCCCTGCCGCCCTCCCTGTCGGTGTGCGGCAGCCTGGGCATCAGGTGCTCCTGTTTGCCCAACCACCTCCACCACGCCAGTGGAGAGGAGGTATTGGAGGCTTCTCGGGCCTGGGGCGGCCTCCTCCAGACTCACTGTCACCCCTTCCTCGCCTGGTTCTTCTGCCTGCTGCTGGCCCCACACTGTGGCGCTGGCCCCCTGCTCACCCCGCCACCCTGCCGCCAGTTCTGCGAAGCCTTGGAGGACGCGTGCTGGAGCCACTTGGACGGGGGCAGGCTCCCAGTCACCTGCGCCTCGCTGCCGGCCCAGGAGGACGGGTACTGTGTGTTCATTGGGCCGGCTGCAGGTAATGGCCGCCTGCCCCACCCTTTCCTTTTTACTCTTTCATGCGAGCCCAGCCAGGGCTGGTGTGAACCAGGCATAGGTCCTTGCCCCTGGTGCTGCCTTTATGGTCAGGTGCCCATCAAACCCTCGGGCGCAGGAATGCAATGTCTCCTTTGCTGGGGGAGGCTGAGGTCTGGAGAGGCTTGCACCCCACCCTAGGTTCCCTGCAGGACAATGGCAGCTGTGTGGGGAGCAGCCCCTGCCAAACAGTTTAGTTCATTTAGTCTTCTGAGACACCCCAGTCATGAAAGGGAAACTGAGTGCACAGAGGGAGCCAGGGTTCCCACCACTTCTGGCTGTTGCTCCAGACACTCCGCCTCGGTGTCTGACTTCCTTTCTGTGGCCCCGTCTGATTGGGCGGAGGGGGCTGCAGGGGTGGACGCCGAAGGAGAGGGGACTTGCTTCTGCGACTGTTGAGAGGCTGAAACCTTGTCAGTAGTCGGTGGGTCTGGAGCCCATGGGTCCCTGAGCTCTGGTCAGGGAAGGGGGAGGGCAGCCGCAGCCCCTCAGGCTCCCAGCTCCCTTTTTGTCCATGGTGGGGCCTGGTCTCTGAGCAGAGCCGGCGCCCTGGTTGCTCTTAGAACCCTTGGCCCCATCTGTGTCGGGCTATGCGGGTCCCCTCTCTCCCCCTCCCCATGAGGAGCAGGCTTGACCACTCATCCGTCCCTGCAGTCATTGGGCTTTGGAGCTGGGCTGGTGGGGGTGGGGTGGCTGCACTGGATCTCAAGGGGGGTGCCCCCCTGCTGGGCCCCTGAGGGATGTGTGGGTGACTCTCTGGCACCCTGTGCCAGGCCTGGGGTAAAGTGAAGGGGGTGCTGCTAGCACCAAGGCCCTCGCCAGGGCAGAAACAAGTGCCAGTGATGGGTGGTGCCCAACCCTAGGGAAGGGGACACCAGAAGCTGGACAGGAGGGAGAGTGACAGCTGCTGCAGAGAGAGGGACAGGGAGGCTGAGCCTTGCTCACGAGCAGGAGTGGCCGGGAGGGTGGCTCCCAGAGGAACAACCCACTCAGGGCCTGCTCTGGGAGGCCTGGTGTATACAGAGTTGGGGGCCCTATGGCTGCCTTTGTGAACCGGTGGGGGCGGGGGGACGGGTCAGGGGCCGTGTCCAGAGCACTGTGGGCTCTGATTTGGGGGCCACAGTGAGCTGCGTGTTTCTACGTTCCAGATACACTTGATGCCTGCAACACCCAGATACTGGGCTGCAGGGCCTTCTCCTTACCCTGCCCCGCCAAGTGTGTGTGGCAGGGGCTGCCCCACGGGAATGTCCTGCCAGGAGGCCTCTGGCAACTCTCCACAGTGCACCTCCCCTCGTCATCCACAGGGCTGCTGGGCCTCCTCTGGGGCAGGGGACGTGGGGTGCAGCCGCACGGTGTGTGGGTGTGGAATCTCTAACTGAAGCTGTCCTGGTCAACCGAGTGGCCTAAAGGGGACTTCTCACCGGACATCTGCACCCTTGGCAGGGTCCCTGGCCTGTGAGAGAGGCTGTGTTCCGAGCAGGGTCTGGGGAAACCCTCCGTCAGTGCTCACTGCTTGCCCATACCCTCGGGCTGGGGGTGGGCTTCAGATGTTCATCTCACCAGGAGCCCTCCTGGGTGTGGCCTGGCCGGAAAGGGGACCAGAGAGGCTTCAGCCCCTCTCCTGTATTGGTGAATGTCCCCCCCCCCCCCCGTGACAGGAGTCCTGGCGAGTGGGGGTGCTGGGATGCAGCAGCCATCACCGGCCTAGTGAGTTCCTTGAGCTGTGTGTTGAGGGGTGCAACTCTGTCAGGGAGGGGGAGACCTGAGCCTGGGTGCTGCTTCCTTCCCAGGACCTGTCCAGACCTGCCTGGAGGGTCTCTGCTGCTGCACCACCTTTTCCATCCCTCCGGAGTGTGCCCTGCGGGGTGGCTGCAGACCCAGGCCGAGATGCCTCCACTCCACCCCTTCATGGTGGGCCAGGGGGGTGTGGCTGTGTCTATTGGTCCCAAGCACCAATCCTGAGGCCGAAGCTCTGTCCAACCACTGGAAGGGCCTCCCCTGTATTTGCTCCTCTCTGCCACCTCAAGGACAGCGGGGTGGCGGAGGGGCTGGGGGCAGTCCAGCAGGTGGCTGGGGCTTGGGGAAGTGGTTAGGAGGGAGAAGGCCACCCTGGGAGCCCTGTGCTGGAGCTGGCCATCAGTCAGCTTACTATTGAGGACCTGGTGCAGGGTCTTGCCGTCTATGAGCTTGTCCCTCAGGCCACAGAGAAAAGCGAGTGAGGCCCCTACCTTGGGGAGGACAGGAGCAAGTCTCAGGTCCTCCTTGTGTCCACACTGGGTGGGCCAGTAGGGGAATTGCTCCCTGGAGCAAGGAGGGAGCTCAGATCAGAGGGACAGGGTCGGGGAGGTAGGGGGCAGTCTGTGGGCAACCCATCGGGAAGGGGCAGGTTCTGCAGAGCAGCAAGGGCTGGCCCTGGGGGGACTGCCTTCACCCTCTGCTCTCGCCCCAGGACCACTCTGCCCTTATCTTGCCCTTGCTGCTTCTCCCCTCTGTCAGGTTTTATCCCAGAACTAGTTGTGGGCATGCCGTCATCAGAATTAAGCTGCAAAAGAGAGGACTGAACGCAGCCCAAGGCCCTCACGGGCCGGCATGGCGTCCTCCGTCCCCTCTGTGTATTGGCACGATGTGCGTGCAGGAGTGTCCTGGGCTGCTGTGACAAATGACCGCAAACTTAGTAGCTTACAACCACGAAGCTGTGCTGTGGCTGGTTTGGCTCAGCAGTTAGAGCGTCGGCCCGCAGACCGAAGGGTCAAGACTTGGAGTCCCATCAAGGGCAAGCAGGTTCGATTCTTGGCCCCGGTTGGGTCTTGTGGGAGGCAACCAATTGATGTGTCTCTCTCACATCGATGTTTCTTTCTCTCTCTCTCCCTCCCCACCCCCCACCACCCCTCCCTTTCTCTCTCCCTTCCAATCTCTCTAAAAACCAATGGAAAATATCCTCGGGCAAATATTAACAACAAAACTCAGCTGTGTTACTTTATTTATTTATTTTTTTGTTTGTTTTGTTTTTTTATCCTCACCCGAGGATATTTTTCCATTTTTTGTACAGATAGAGTGGGAGGGAGAGAGAGGAAGGGAGAGAGAGAGAGAAACATCGACGTGAAGGGACACATCGAGTGGCTGCCACCCGCACGACCAACCAGGGCCGGGGACAAACTGCAACCGAAGTACGTGCCCCTAGCGGGAACCGAACCCGGGTCTCTCCGGACCGCAGGCCGACGCTCTAACCGCAGAGCCAAACTGGCCAGGGCTCAGCTGTGTTACTTTAATTCCTAGAGGTTGGAAGTCAGAGATCCCTCCACTGTGCTGAAATGAAGGTGTCTCGGCGGGTTCCTCCTCCAGCTGCAGGGGAGGTTCTGTTCCCACCCTTTCCCAGCTTCTGGAGGCCACCCACATTCCTTGGCCCGTGGCCCCTCCGCCGTTTTCAAAGCCAGCGAGGTCAGCCAGGTCTGTCTCACGCTGCCTTCTGTGGCTCTCCTTCCACAGCACAACGCTGTCTCTGCTCCTGCTGGAGCGGGTCTCTGCTCCTGCTGGAGAGGTTCTCTGCTGTTCAGGTTGTGTGTGGTTAAATTTGGGTGATCTCCCTCTCTCAAGGGCCATCACCATAACCACATCTGCAAAGTCCTATTCGCCGTGTGGAGTAATAGTCACAGGTTCCAGATGTGGCAGCGAGGGCATCTGTGGGGCTGTTACCCTGCCTACTGCAGCATGTGCGTGTACCTGCGTGTGCATGCGTGTGTGCTCATGTACACGTGCTCTCAGAGTCTTCTTTTGCATAAACGGGATCACATTCTGTGTACCTGAGATTTTCTCTTTTCCTTTACGTGTCTGAGACAACACCCTGTGTCACTCCAGGGAGACACCTCCGGTTCTGGGTGGGCCTGGTGTTTTCTTCACTCCCCTCCTCAATGGCAGACCTGGAGAGATCTCCAGCTTCTCTCTCTAACAGAGGATGCCGCCGTGGCTCTGCTCATCTTCCCAGTCTGTTTGCTCCTCACTCATTCGTGTCTTTATTACTTGCACCCAGGCCAAGTGCCCCGTGCGGGCCCTGACGTGGGCATCTGGTTAGCGTGCTTGGGGCCCACGTTCTAGGAATTCACAACTGTGTTCAAAGATTCACTGGACATCCATGGGCATTTTCTCTTCTAGATCATCAGAAATCATTCACTGAGGCCTTTGTGGGTGGTAATGATGTGAAGTCAGATTTGGACATTATAATCGTGTCGCCATGTCTGTGATGTCCCCACCCAGGGACATGGGGTGCCTCATTTTGCTCATCGTGCTTATTAGTCTTTCAGTCAAGTGTAAACCATCTTAGATGTCCCTGAGATGTTTGTTTGATATTGAGATGAGGTTCTTGACGAACCCCAGACACCTACTCTCTGTGTGGGTAGTAAAGGGACCAGTGTGGCGTGCTCTTCACACTGAGGTTCAGGAAGGCTCTCCGTGTGTGTCCCTAAGAAGGTTGTGCTCTGTTCTAATAGGAGAGTGAGGCAAGCAGGTATTTCTGGTTTGCCAGCCACCCCTTCCGCTTGTCTTGTGTATTGGGGGCACTATTGTCAGGTACATGTGGGTGGTAGGAGGCTCATCACATGTCAGTGCACCAAAAGTATCATCCCTTTGTTTCACTTAATGGCTTTCAACTTGAATTCTGTTTGATTTGATAACAGTGTTGCAATATTTGTTTACTTTCTGTTGTCATTTGCCTGATGTTTTTAAAAAAAGACTTTATTTTTTTAGAGCAGTTTTAGGATCAAAATTGAAGGGAAGGTACGGAGATGTCCCATATGCCTCTATCCCCTCCCCAACACACTCAGCCCCCTCCACTATCAACATTCCCACCAGATGGTACATTTGTTACAATGAACCTACACTTATAATACAATTATCATCTGTCTTCAGGTCCATAATTTACATTAGGGTTTACTCTTCATGTTGTATGTT